CGTGTACTTCGGAGAGAGAATTCGGGTCGTTCGCTCAGTACAAAAGAGTGTGAGTTTCCACACCGGCGTGGCGCGGCGCGCTACCTTTCTCGTTTTTTCCCCCTTTTTTTACGACGACAGGGATGCTGCAGCTACTGTCTAATCTGGCAGCTCGTTTCATTTCCCCCGGCGATTTGTCCCGACGGAAACGTTAAATCCGTAGAGGCAATTTGGATATTGCCCTAGTCGGATGTAGCTTCTGTTGGTCGGATACATGGAAGTCACACAGCGAGAAATGAAGAAGAACGATGGGAAAAGAGAAGAGGAGACTGAGGGGAAAAGATAGGAGAGGAGCGAGATACACGCGAAACAGTCGCGGCTGATAAAGCGATGTATGGAATAAAGATGATCGTCCGTAGCGACTTAAATTCGAGCAGCGCTCGTCTCTCTCTCTCCTTTCCCCTCTTCTTTTTTTCTTCCTCCCCTTAATTTCAAGTTATATATCTTCGCGCGCTATATTTCACGCGTTTAGAGCGTGACAAGGCGCGTCGAGGAGTGCATGATAGAGTACGGTCGTAATACTTTTGTTAAAAGATAGATATCTAGTTCTCTAGCACGTGGGCGTACAAAAGGTACGCTGATGCTTATTTATCGAGTATTCCTGCCGCGTCACGTCGACGGGCGTCGACGTCGAGTAAAAAGATTCGCGCAACTGTATCGCAAACAAGAATTTCACGTACAGGGAGAAGCCAGCTACCCCCCCCCCTCCCCGCCCCCCCCCGAAGTTCGTCGCTCGGGCGCGTTCGGTCCCAAGTTTGCCGCGCAACTTTGGACCACTTGACATTATCTGTTTAGGGATGTCGTAATCCACCAACAGGGCGTGTGAATAAGCAGCGATAATTAGCTACCCGACGCGATAGCGCGCTTAAGAAACTTTAGTACGTGCACTTACATGTTACCGCCCTTTCGGTGGCGCGGCCCGTCGAAATATTTTCAAAGGAGATCTCACTGTCGCCCGTAATGAATGGGGTAACGATAAAATTTTCACCCTCCGATATTTTTTCATTAATCTCTTCCCGCCGGTGGACGGTGCTAAAAATAGCGGACGACGTTAAATTATTGCTCGACCGTAGGACAGGAAGCTATCTCATTGTGTTTTCATTATGATCATGTATAGAAATACATCTGAAAACGGATGTATTTTGAATATAACTTAATGAAAAATTCTCCCTCTCTCTTCCTTTCTCTGTCTCACACACGGTGAAACCTATTTCTCTCTCTCTCTCTC